TGAGGATGCCAAAAATGGCATGGGTCGGGCACGGTCCACGTGATGAGCAATGGGCCTTGTAACTGACCCAGATCCGAACCAAGCACTCACAAAACAGGCCTAAGACGAAAGAACCAGCTGAAGATCCACTGGAAGTAGTAAAGCCCATAACAAGAGAGGCTCGGGAGGGGCCCAACATAATGATTTAGTTAGGAAGCTTCTAGAAGGCATGTAACACTCTATAAATAGGCTGAAAATTAGAGGGAAAAGGATTCTGAAAATGTAGTGAAACTCTGTCAAAATTAAGATAGAAATTTCTTGCATCTTCGTATATATATAACCATTGATTTCAGTTTAACATAGTTATGTTTAATTTTACTTTATTAACTTAATTTGTATTAATTAATTTATATTTTTTAAATCTTCATATGATCAAGTCATAATTATCTTTCTTTTTTGTGGCTAATTTAACTTTGTACTTGTCTCAATTCTAAATATTTTTAAATACTCCAAAAATACTCAAATGAGAATGACCATGCGTGTACTTTTAAAATTTTTATGAGTTCAATGAGGTGTGGTTTCACAAATAATCTCTAATTTTTCTTTTTATCGAGTAATTATTACAAATTGTTGTTGGATTTTAGTTAAGTGACATTCTTGAATTTTTTTTTTTTATTGCATGCATTCCACTTGCATTTTGCTTGTTAATGATAAAAGAATGAAACAAATTGGAAAAAATTGATGCCTTGAACCCAAAAATTCTTACTAGATGTGCATTCAGTACATGATATGAGGAATTTGACAAATTAGATGGTCATGATTCTCTGAATTTATCAAATTTTTATCCCAAAGAAGCTTCGAACTAGGCTTAATCAATTAGAAAATGTATGTGGCCCATAGAACCTTCTCTTTTTACCTAGCATTCCTTTATTCAAATATTTTGATTATTATATTAATTGTTTATAATTGCATTGAGTAAAAACTTGAACAATTTTGCTATGTTGTCTGAAGTAAAATGTAATACCCCGTAATTTTAAAGAATGTATTTAAATTAATTTTGTGTTAGGTTAATTAATTTTATTTAAAGTTCATTTACTTGTGCATGTAAATTAATTGTGTATGTTAAAATAAGTAAATTTGTTCATGTAATTATGCATGTATTCTTATTAATAATTTTATTTGTTGGTTATGCTTATATTAATCATTATTAGTTAAGTAAAGTATTATATTTGTGTTATATAGTATTATGATGATATAATGTAGTATTTTGTAATAATAATAATTATATTAGTTTAATAATAATAATAATAATAATAATAATAATATAAATAATAACAATTATAAAAGTTTTATTAATAATAATATTAGTATTAAATCAAGGTAATGATGAAAAATTAAATACTAGGATAGAATTTCATTTACTATGGTAGAATGGTGGATCAAATATCTTGATTAAAGATAGCATTGTCTTAAAGCCATATAGGTAGGAATATGAGAAATGAGTGAGAAGTTATTATAAATTAGATATTTGTATTATATATATTATATAAGTTTGTATATATATATTAGTAGCCAACTTACTCTAAAGGCAACTTACTTAAGTTAGAAAGCTTAAACATTCTAGTGAGCTATTTTATAAGAGTGAAAGGAAAAGAGAAAGAGAAAGAAGCTTGGACCGGTGTAGGCGATTTTACCCGACTACGCGCAACCGGCGGATTTATTTTAAATCCAAAAAAGGCAAGTTATTATCTACTTTTCCCCTTTGAATTAATAAATTAATTGTTTAGCTTATTTTTATGCATAGAGCCAAGGTTTGGAGGTTAATAAATTATTAATTTTATTTTATTACATTAATGGAATTTTAATTATATAGGATGGTATATATTTATTTAATGTCCTATGAAATTAATAATGGCTAAAAATAATTAAATAAGACTTTAGGGATTTTTCTAGAATTTTCTAGATTTTTTCGGGCATTTTCTGCAATTTCCGGCGACCTTCCGGCGAGGATTCCGGTCACCGGCAGTGGGGAAGACAACCGGAGTAATCCGGTGTGAGGCAGCGCACAAGGGTTCCCATGCGCTTACATCAGCAGCCGTTGGATTAACTATTGACCACTAGATTGATTCTATGTAGCATAGTGTACAATAATAGCATACGCGCACTTCAGGGACCATTGGATTAAAGGATGATCATTAAGATCAATCCAGTGTAGCGCGCCCACATCGAAACGGTACAACCGACCAACCAGAACACGCCACGTCAGCAGGAACCATTAATGCGCGCGTGGCTGATGCCAGACGCGCGTGGAGGCGCGTGTGCGCGCGTGAGAGGGTGGAAAACATAGGGCTGCGCGTGGGGAAGCTTAGGGCGGCGCGTGGGGGCGCGTGAGGGGCCCTGTCAGCTGCTGGAAATTACCAGAATACCCCTAGGCCTGTTTTGTAATTTCCAGAACCTTAAACTTGCACTTTTGGGCCTATGGTTGGTACTTACGGGTTTAACGGGACATTAAATTATTATTTTATTAACCGTTAGTTATTATTATGTCCGATTAATATTTTTAAATATTAATTGTATCGTTTTCAATGCAGATCACCATTAAACAGATGTAGTTAATTTAATGACATTGTTAATCATTAATTGTGTTATTATTTTATTAAACAGTATTAAATCATTAATGTTAAAATTAAATGATTACATGGTTTTAATTCAAATAAACTGTCCGTTATACATTGCAGGATTATTTATGTTGTTAATGATACACAAACCATGATTATTATGCTGTGTGCATTTCAGGAAATAAATGGACTGTTTAATTATGTCGCATTTATATTATATGGATGTGTTGCCATATAGAACCATGTGAGCTGGCTAATAAGTTTAGACTCATTTATACCTTATGCATTCGTTGCGATAGACAGATGTGTGGCTGTCGGGGTATGTGGTTTAATATTATTGGCATGTGTTGCCTAATTGACATACTCGGTATATTTCTTAATATTGTTGGCATGTGTTGCCTAATTTATATGCTCAGTATATTCATCAGTACTTTGCGAGGTGTTATCACCGTGTAGTTCGTTATAGTCTGTGTTGTCAGTACCGTGCACCATGTATAATAGCTGATTTCCCGGGTAGGGAAAGGCGACACTTAACCACCTAGTGTGAGTCTAAGTGATCACCGTCTATTCTGGTTGAGGTCATGTTATACATCGGATAGTTCCCGTAGGATGTATACAGATATAGTACTCATCCGATTCATAATGATTAATTTATTTGATTCTTTGATTTGGGTCATAGTAGAGAGGACTTGCTCGTGGGGTTGACCCACCATTGTTGTTATTTCAGGATACGGTCAGTATCCGTTTCAAGGCTGAGGTTAGCAGTGTGGGACCATCATCCGAACTCATCTACTCTTACGATCCAGTGCAGGGTAGAAGTTTTATGTAATACTTCAGTTTCAGTTTTTATTTACTTTTGACGTTGAACTCTCAGGGTTATATTTAGGGATCCCTGACGTAGGATTTCCAAGTTGTAATGAAGTACTGTATTAAATAAAGGATGGATGGATGTTGTATTATTTAATGTTTCTTTTCTGTCTAAATTCTTTTATTTCCATCATTTTGTATTCCATGCTTGTATATTGCCAATTGTTTTTGATATCCCTCATTTTTCGTGTATAAGCCTGATCAACTTATGCGTGAAAAATGTGGGGGTGTTACATAAAATGCGTCTATTGTCCTTTTGTTCAAGTTTCCCCATAAAAGCAACCAGTGTGGTTGCATTGTGGCCAGACTGAACAATCTGGTGTGGTGACTATCATTTTTTATTATTTTTTTTCTTTTTTCTTTTCCGTCTCTCCCCTCTTCTAAAGTAGCGAGTCCCATAAATAGATGGCTAAATCTTTTATAGATCTACAAATGCAATGGTTATATTCGTAGAAACCAAATGCGAATATAGTAAGTCAAAAAGCGGTGCCAATCACCATATCTCTTGCCCTAAAGCATTCCATCCAAATTGTCTATAAAATTTTCCAAGAAAGTTTCAATTGAAACGGAAAACAAAAATTTTTGATTGTTCCACAAGATGATGCATTTAACAAAGAATCATGCATTTTGGGGCTTTTTCTTGGGCAAAGTGTGTCAGACACAACATAGAAGAAGCTACAACAATTTCCTTTTATACAACCACTACTAATAAGCTATGACATTAAATTCATTTATGAAAATCAAGTGACATCGTTTTGAGTTATTGTTAATATTTTTCATATCTATTGCAAACAATGGAAGTTAAACTTCAAACAAGTGCTTGGCAAGCAACCCCCTCTGTGTGTGCAGGTTAATTTCTTTTCTGTTGCAATAATGTTGTTGGGTTTATCTGGTTATGATGCCATCTTGCCAGTATGGTGAAATTTCAAATTCCTCTTATAGATGACAAAAAAAAATTTGTTCTGTAACATCTAATTAAATTTGGATTAAATTTATATTGGTATGCTATAATGCTAAGTTCCTTCCATGCCTTACTTAGAATTTGGGTATAGATTTAGTAAATGAATAAATATTACTAACTTCTTCTACTTCGAATTCGAAGGTCACTTGAGACTCGAGAGTGGGTGAGATTGATTTATTTATTTTCCAGAGTGGATGGGATTTCCCCACTACAATGGTAGGCTGAAAATAATATTTGCTTTATGTATAAAAAAGGTAAAGCATAACATCCAAAATAATAATAATAATAATATTAATAATAATAATAAAGCATAGACAAATCATACCAGGGTAATCTCGACAACCTCTTATGAAACTGAAATAGCAAGAGTGGCGGATCAAAGTTGATGTCACTTGCATCTTGCCCCGTGAATATTACTCACTAAGTTAATTAGCTTAATCTAGCCACTTACCTAAATACCACGCGGTTGAAAGAGAGTGAAACTTTCGAATTAAAATATACCGTATATAAGTCTATATATATACAGAGAGGGAGAGAGAGAGAGAGAGAGAAGTCATAAACATTTGATACGAAACGTGTTGAATTGACGTTGGGTTCTATCGTTAAATTCAAGCCGATTCATTTTATCATTTTTCAAAACGAATCGTTATAATTGAACAAAAAGTCAAGAGAAAAAAAAAAAGAAAAGAAAATTTGAACAAAAATTTGTAGGGAAGGAGAGAAGAAACGAAAGAGACTCTTCAAACGAAGTTGCTCTCACGACCCCGTCTCTCGCTCTAGAGTCCCTTAATTTAAGGTATGAGATTATTTTCTCTCTCTAAAATATAGACTTATATAACTCTGTATATCTACCATCTGTATGTATATCTGCTCAATTGTCTGTGAAGCTATGCAGCCTTGCAGTGAAGAAATGCAAGCAATGAACTCAATCTTAAAGCAATCTCAGATGTCCCTTGAAGACCTCCAAAACGGTCAATCGCAAATCGCTAACCCTCAGATTCAACTTCAGGCTTCTCAATTCAACCCGACGTCGTCTCACGACGACTTCCTCGACCAAATGCTTTCCTCGCTCCCTTCCTGCTCTTGGCCGGACCTCTCCGCCGCACCAAACCCTAAGTCACCTTGGGACCTCTCGTCAATCTGTTCGCGAAATTCTCGAGAATTGTCAGACGATCAGAGGCCGCTTAATCCAGAGAATGGTCAACACCATCAGTTCCAATTTGATGAGTCGGCTTTGTTGGCTTCGAAGCTCCGGCAACACCAGATCAGCGGTGGGGGACCGAATTCACAGGCTGCGAAGTCGTTGTTGCTTCAGCAACAGTTACTCCTCTCTAGAGGCGTTTCTGGCGGCGGAGGTGGATTGAGGTCGCCGACGGGATCTTCCGGTACCGGTGATTCTGGCCTTCTACCAATGCCTCCGTGTCTAGGTAGCGACGACAACTTCAAATCTGCCAATCTGGTGAGTTCTCTGTAGTGAGAGAAAGTATAGGAAGAGATAAGGTGGTAGAATATATGATTGAATTGATGAAATGTGGATTAATTATGGCCATAGTTACAGGGAGGAGATGGTTCTGTACGAGCTCTATACAACGGCTTCACCGGATCTCTGAATGGGACCGCTCAGGTATCCAATCAAGCTCACCATTTTTACATCTTTAGTTCTCTGATATACTTGTGTATATCTATATATATATATATATATATGTATATAATATATTTAGTATATACATCTATGGATATGTGTATTGAGTAATGAACATAGTTTTGGGGATATTTTTGATTGATTACAGACTGTGTCGCAGAACTTCGGAGCTCCGGCGCCGGTGACGAACCAAGCTCCATCGAATGGTTCTGGCGGAGGAGCAGGGGCGCAGCCGAGACAGAGGGTGAGGGCACGGAGAGGTCAGGCCACTGACCCTCACAGCATCGCTGAAAGAGTAGGCCAAGTTTCACTCGTCATGCTGCCATATTTTTCTGTTTTTGCTTTTGTTTTTCTGTGTTTTTTGTGTTTTTGGTTTCAGTTTGTTTTTGTTTTTTTATCCTTCATGGGGGTTATTGGTGTACTGTATTGGGCAGTTAAGGAGAGAGAGAATTGCAGAGAGAATGAAAGCTTTGCAGGAGCTAGTTCCCAATGCCAACAAGGTGATTTTTGCCATACTGTATTTCTGAATTTATTGTTGGAAATTATGGATGTCTATTAACTTTCTATCTTTTCTTTAACATATATCGTACGAAGTTGATAATATGACATAAACATCACTATGTGTTTATGTTTTAGTGTGTTGAATGATTAGTGCATAAATGTTTGTATATCTGAGTTTGTGCTTGAAAGTATACCTACGTGGAAGGAAGGGCATTAGTGTTTAGCAGGATGTAATATGTTTGAGGAATAATTCTACAGTAATAGATTTATTTATTTTTTTAATTTATACGAATATAAGTTAACTAGATGTATTATTTTGTTTGAACGTATTCGTGGGTATTGCAACGACAGACAGACAAGGCTTCAATGCTGGATGAGATCATCGATTATGTCAAATTCCTCCAGCTCCAAGTCAAAGTACCCCCTTCATCTCTCTCCCAATTACTATTTTGTATGTGAGCTTCTAAAATTCCATCGCTTTATATACATATATATAATGTGTGTGTTCAGGTTCTGAGTATGAGCAGATTAGGCGGTGCTGCAGCTGTTGCCCCTCTAGTTGCTGATATCTCCTCCGAGGTAATTAAAGCACATTGTATTTATATTTATAGGATGTGTTCTTGTGTACAATGTATGTATATACCTAGCTAAATGTGAAACTGTAGTGTTGCAGTCAGTGTGGGTCTAACTTAACATACCTTTATGGCTACACCAGCGCATTATTCATAGCCTCACTCTAATTCTAAATATATACAGTAAATTTGAAATGAGAAGGAATTTTAGTACTTTTAATACAGTAATTTTTTTCAATTCTAAATCCGCATATTCTATATTCACAGACATAATAAAAAATTAAAACATTAAAATAAAACATTAAACATGAAAATAGTGCAAATTAATCCACACAAATTATGGAAGAAAACTCTCAAGTGAATTCCCAACCAACCCCACCTCTGTTTGTGTCCCTTTAATTACAGTCCCGAATTTCCAATCAGCAGAAAACGACAAAACAGAAAAGGATCACGCGTGCCCACCTTTCCAGATACCCATCCCTTTCCCCTCTCCTACTACTCCTAAAGTTTGTTTTTTTAAATAAAATTAAGCGACAAAACTCTTTTCAGTTTCACTTTACTTTGCTTTCTCTGTTTTTTTTTTCGGAAGATTTTACTTTTCTCTCTTTGTATGCATATGACCATGTAGTATAATACTCTTGTTTCCTGTGTGTGTGTGTGTGTGTATATATATATATATATATATATATATATGTTTTTTCTTGTCTCGTAGGGAGGTGGTGACTGTAATCAGACAAATAGTGGGGTTGGAGGACGGATGAGCAGTAGTAACGGGGCACAGACGGCGTCATCAAACGACAGCATGACGATGACGGAGCATCAAGTGGCGAAGCTGATGGAAGAGGATATGGGGTCCGCCATGCAGTACCTACAAGGAAAAGGTCTCTGCCTCATGCCCATCTCTCTTGCCACCGCCATATCCACCGCCACGTCTCACTCCAGGAACAACAACCACCCACTACTCGCTTCCAACGGTGAGCCTGGCCCACCATCTCCCAGCATCTCCGCGTTGACCGTCCAGTCAGCCACGATCGGTAACGGCGGAGGAGAGATTTCCGTTTCAAAGCCCTGATCTGATCTGATGATGATCACACCGTTGACCATCATACACACACTCTCTCCGTGGAGCGAATAACGGACAACCTGACGGAGTAAAAGAGAAGACGTGAGGGAATCTCTCAAGTTTTAACGGCCGTCAGTCAAGTCTACCAAAATAAGGAGGGTCTCTTCAGCCTCAAAGCGTATTACGACGCCGTATTTACGTAGACTTGGCTTATGCTTAAGCTAACATATAATTATTTTGAATTTGTATTATCAGTTTAGTATTATCTAAACTAAGTTGGACTGAATGTGTCTAATGGGGGACCATTTTTAAGTGGTGTCATGATGGTATGTTAAAAATGATTAACATTATTATTATGATCATCACCAACTGAAAATAGTTTCGGAAATTATGGGATCTAATCTAATGCTCGATATTTGCAGGCTTCTCAGTTGACCTTTGTACTTTTAGTTTTTAAATTTTTTTTTTTGTTTCACAATTATTATACTATTATACTGGTGTATGTGTAACAGATCTTTTCCCTGCGTTTCTTCATTGTTGGTTTGGTTTTTGAGTAGCAAGAAAGGGAATATCATAAACAGGTTAATCCCATAGTAGCATCTGTAGATCGATCCATGTTCAAGTTTCTTTGTATATTGTATTACGGAAATTGATAGTGAAAAAGTAAAAGAAAAAAAAAAAAAAAAGTAAATAAAAATATAAATTTATTTGTTTTTGTTTAGCTTGAATTTTTTTCAATAATAATATGAAAAATTACCATTGCATGGTTTTAATAATAACATGAAACTTACAATAAAAGAAAGGGTGTTATTGTGAGTTCATAAGACTTTCACAATAAATAAAAATTGTATTTTTTTTTTAGAAAAATTTTACAAGAATATTAGGTGGTTATGAAAAATAATTCTCTCAAAATCTTCATTTTCCTTCCTAAGAAAGCTTGAGTTATAGACTGAACATCATGTATGGTCTAACATGATCTAATAATTTCTCCTAGGCACACTTCTGTTTCTTTCCTGGAAACCAAACAATTTGTTTCATGTACTTGAACCTTACTGAAAATAATATATATGTATATATATATATATATATTCATATTTTTTACTTTACATAAATATTATATATGTATACCATTATACTACAAGCTTCTGTATTTTCTGTCTTGGTTTTACGTATTTACTCTTTTGCATCATGGGTCTTCAAAGCTATCACCAAACTTGAACATTTATAGAAGATTAATAAAGAAAATTCAACAGCCACCACATAATGATTCTAACAGGAAGAAAGAATAAAAATGAAAGAAAAGAACACGTCTAGCCAATATTATAATTTAAGACTTGTAATTATCTGCAATACATTCCTGGGGCTTAATTATATAATATTATTTGGTATGTTATTAATATAATTATATTCTTATTGTTAGGTGAACAAACATTATGTGAAGTTGTGGGGGTGAGAATGATGAGTGGGAAGCGACTAAGGATTATGAAGTGTGTCCCAACCAACCCTTCTCTTTGCAATCTGTCCAACAACATGACCATTCAGATTGTTGTCTTGGTCCCAAATTCTGTATTTTACTTGGCTATCTCTTTATATCACCTTGAATACCATATAAACAAACCAAAAAATAAGTGGAACCAAAAACAAGAATGCACATTTTATTATCATTTTGGCACTTTTGCAAAATGAGTAAAGTTGGGCACAAGAATTAGCTTTCACACACACACACACACACACACACTCTCTTTCTCCAGACTCCACTACTTCCATGAGAGAAGGGGGAAAATTATCCTTAAATCTCACCTCAGCCTGAATGGAAAGAGCAAATTTAGCTCATGCATGACTTGTGAACAGCACAGTTACCCTCATTCCAGAGTGGAAAATATTAATTTCTATCTATCAAATATGTCCATCTCTTCGATCAATATCTATCATCTATATCCTTAATCAACATTGGCGGTCCTCAGTAAATATATAACCAACTGATTTGGAACTTCGGAGGAGGTAATGCAGTTTCAACAGCTTGGGTGAAGATCAATCTACATTTTAAAACTGAATAAATCTGAATCAACATTTATTTTCTTTATTTTTATTCTTTATGAAGATGCACTGTCATCTTCTTGACATATTTAAATACATCATATTAAAACGTAAAGAAATTAAAGAAGATGCAGTGTCATCTTCTTGACTTCTTAAAAAACATCATATAAGAAATTAAAGTAGGTAACATAGATCAACTTCAGTAACCAAAAACATTCCGAGAATTTGTTTAAATCAATGGTTTGTATAAGAACATGATGACAGTATCAGGAACATATCTAGATATTCTCATTACAATGCACGACATGAGCAGTAAAACCTTTAAATATTCACACACACACACACACTGATTCTGGGAAGTGGCCATAAACTCGAAGCTTAATCTTACAGATCCAAGACTATAAGATGTAATATAAATATTATGAGACATGTAGTCCACTACCTCTAGTCATAAAAACAGATTGTCATAGCAATGCAACATCATCAGTCCTGTATCTAATACAATGAGCTATTTGTAGAAAAAACATCGCACATAGATGACAATCTACCAAAGCTAAAGATTATAGTTTGCAAATAATGAAAAACGTATCGACCCACTACTATAAAATACATCAAAAACAATGAACATTGAAGGTGAAGAGAAGTAGAAAAGCTTATCCAAATGCCAAAAGTGAATCCCATGATTATATAAAATTCAAATGCTTAGAGCTTCAAGCTTCAAAGAGTACAACATAACTATAAAATGGTTCTACATCAGTGGTACCGAGTCATTGTCAAAGATGCTGTGTGGGTTAAGGAACCTTCAATCATATCCATATCAACATGAACACAGTCAGTCCCACCAACAGTTTATTGAACAAAATGTCCATCCCCAGATACTATGAATTGGCTTAAGATATTTGCATACCCATCAATAGTCGGGCAAGGCTTCACTTAGAATAATGATATCAGTAGGTAACTAGTTAAGTAGATTCAGAACAGAAAGAAAATTCCAGTACATCAATTGTCAAATATTGGTGAGGAGGTGTTGAAAGAAGAAAATATAAGTTCTTTCTGGAGCAGCGACATTCACTATGTAACCAAGAGCTTTGCTCTTTACTTTCCAAGTAGAGCATTGAGGGTTCAAGTCCCGTGAGGGGGCAATTGTGGGTGTGTAGGTGTGATTTGCTTACCAAAAAAGAAAAAAAGAAGTCCAACTCCAGCAGGTCTCCAAGGAAAGCTGCACTTCAACATTGGTGAATTCAAAAAGGTAAAACAATCAGATGAAATGAGTGGCGACTCATTGAAACTGAGTACCACAAATTACTCCATATCAGAAAATCACTGCAAAAAAGAATAAAAAAACTATATTACATGGACTTGTGTATGATTATATGAGCTGTGGGTATGTGTTAAGGTTTTTTAAACACAAAGACATGGAGGTACACATAAATTGTCAGAAATGTTTAATCTCTCTCTTTAAACTAGGGGAATATTGTTTGTCTAAACAAATTGAAGCTTAAGGGCATGTTTGTGCATAGTGCAGGAGCATCTAAGATTGCACCCATCAAATGAACCAGCGGCTCATTTCCATTGGATGAAATGAAAGTTGATTCAAAAAGAAGCATCATGTCATAAACTGAAAACTATGCTTTGTAGATATACTGATGGTTGTAGCTATGTTGATCAAAGTTCTATTAACAAATATGTCAACCTTTGAGTAAAATTCATGATAAATTGTAATGGAAAGCTTACACTTTTTTGTTTCCCAGAACAAACTCTCAAATTGAAACAGCAAGAAAGTTGCCTACTGCGTCTCACATACCATATAATCATAAGTTTTGATTTAGGAAGCACAAACATGTCTAAAAGGTCGAAGTGTCCATGTCGAACACGTGTTGAATATGTCCAAAAAAATGTCTAGAATTTTTACCTTTTAAAACACGTTGACACGTGACAGACATGCCGACACACTGCAAACACACAAGTGTCCATGTCTAAAAGGTCGAAGTGTCCATGTCGGGAAGTGTTGAATATGTCCAAAAAAATGTCTAGAATTTTTACCTTTTAAAACACATTGTTGACACATGACGGACATGCCGACACACTACAAACACGTGGTGAACACATTTGTCTGATTAAAAAAGGCTTTTTAAAAAGATCTCAAAAAATACAGTCCTTGGGACGCGTTCCCCTTTTGAACGCCTTCTATTACAATTTACTTATCAAAAAAAAAGATCTCAAAAAAAAAAAAAAAAAAAAAAAACAAACAAACAAAAAACAAAAAAGAGAAAAGAAAAAGAGGAAGAAGAAGATAGGTTAAAATATAAAGTATGTGAAATTCTTTGAAAAGTTTCAATAATATGAAGGTCAATATATAATAAATAATGTCTTTTTATGGAAATTACCAAGCAATTATATTTACTTGATCTTTTTATACTTATTACTTGTTTGAAATTGTAAAAGATCACAAAAAGAAAATGGTAAGAATCTTACCCTCTTTCGCAACCAAGTTTCGAACTTGCTAGAGCTAATTATCGAAGCTTGACAGATGGTGAGCCCTCTTCTTCTTCTTCTTTAATAAATCATCTTCTTTTTTCTTTTTGTCCTCTTCTTCCTATCATAAGTTCCACTCTTTCTCTATAGATTCTTTCTTAATAGAATTATCTTCCCTTTTCTTCAACAAAAACCTAGTTAAAGAAAAGGGTATAGAAATTCTACTTCGACCAATTCTCTCTCTCTCTCTCTCTCTCTCTCTCTCTCTTCATTCATTCTTTATACAACTATAATCTTTTGTTTAGTTCTGGATTTAGTTTACAACAAATATTATAAAGGGACTCAACCCAGTCTCTCTTCTTTATACTTTTTAAAAGAGAAAACTATGGTTGTAACTTCATTAGTTGTTGTTTTCTTTTTTATTCTTATTTTGAAGGAAAACAATATTAGCCTTATAATATAAAATAACATATATAAAAATATTTATTCATTACTCGTTGTGTAAGTGTCTTAATGTTTTAAGATTTGTCATATTTGGAAGATAAAATGAACATGAAGATACTATTACACCTAAGTCACATAATTCATTAATCTGGGTCATCGCTCTACCCTCCATGTGCGGATTTGCTCCAAATTCACAAACTCAATTTTTTGGATTTGCGAATTCCATTTTAGAATCCGCGGATTGCGGCAATTCGTGTGCACACATGCTGTTTGGGTGAATCATGCACTAAAAAGTAGCCACTTCCGCATGGGTTGGGGATTGAACCCATGACATAGTATATAAAAACTAAGAGTATCTACAACTGAGTAACTATTTGTTTTTGATATATTAAACACAATTAAAAAATGTAAGTACTACTTCATCATATTTAATTACTACTCATATCTTTTAAATAGTCATATATTAAAAAATTAACAACAAATGGTGTTTAATAAATAAAAATGACAATGTAACAAGTGGAATAAGTACATACTCTAAAGGCGCTCCCACTCTCGAAGAATTCTAGACTTTGATGCTCTCACGTTCTCGCTCTCGCTTTGTGTGACTTAGCTATACACATAATGTGGAGAAAACGCATAACATTGGTTCACATCTAGATCACAAAACTTACTTCATGGTAGCAAAACATAAAAGTTAAATTTCAAGAGATTCCATTCCAACGCATGGATCGCCACTTCACTAGAAGCCCTAAGCTTATTAATTCATGTTTAACTAAGCAGAGTTCACGTGAAGCAAAACTGTAGCATAATGTCCAGTTTGTCTTTGACTTTTTTATGGTACTTTGAGTCTTTGACACAAAACTTTTAAGCATTGCTACCATCTTTTGCCCTTTATGTGAAGAGATCTACTCTTCTTCTCTTTCTCTTTTGCTTCCTTCATCCTCCATATGGGATTTTGATTCACTAAGTTGGACTACTAAAAGTAATGAGGAATCTCGTTTCGCTCATCATATTTCAGGAATCTGTAGAGTAATACAGGGCTATGGCAAATAGCCAAATACATAACCCCTTAATTTCGCACCATTTTGAATGTCACACATGACAAACTCTCACTTTTCAATTTGTGTCACCATTGGTTTGGACTAATAAATTAATTTTGACATACGAACATAGAAGATGGGAAATTTCTTTACAGATATCTACCCATCTATGTGCAAACACAGAAGACAGTGATATAACTGATGCACAAACAAGCATTCACACATCAAACTAAACCATCTCAAGTATTTAAAAAGTGGAGATCACTGAAGAAATAAATAATGTGCATAATATGCAAACTACATGATCATTCAAGTAAAGAAAACACCACCAAGACCGAAATCTGACTTATCGAAAAAAAACAAAAAAAACCACCAAGATGAAAATTTTCTTTCTTCATGCTTGAAGTACATTTCACCAAGTGCAATATACTTTTGAATTTTAATTACTGACAAATTCCATAATATTGGTGCAGCAAGCTTATAAGCCATAAAAAAACTCCATCTTAATTGATAATTAAAAATGTTTGGTACAATAAACACCCTATAAGTTACCCGCATAACCAATAAAAGATTCCATTCCCCTCTTCCACATGGACCAAGCTTCACACCCCTGTTAAGATAGATCAATTAACCTAGTGAGTACATATATTACTATTAAGTACTCCTATAAGGATTGCCACTTCCAAACCTTAGAAAGTTAGAAGGCAACTTTCAATATGGAAAACTTCACAGTCAATTCATTAGAAGTTGGAACAGTGAGAAGCAATACAATCAAATATATATAACCATCACCACCACTAGAAACTCAAATTCCCACATTTGGGTTCCTTATATAAATATAAATAGAACCAACCAACTAAAACTAATCTGGTACAAAGGCAATGAGATTTATACTCTAAGGACCATAAAACACATATCTATCAATTCCTCCAACATTTTGATCTACTGTAAAATAGAAAAGCAATTCCTCCAACAAAAATACAAAGTTTCATGATGATCCATATGACCCAAAAATACCAACATATCTATATATCAATATTAATTAGTGGGCTTGAAAGTATAAGACTTCGGAAGTGACAACGGACCTCTTCTGGAATCATTGTCATCCAAAAGCCTCTTTTTATTAGCACAATACTGCCTATCGAAATGCTTCACCTACAAATTCAAAAATAAACAATCTTATCATTCTAAAAAATAAAATTCAAAAAAAAAAAAAAAAACCCACCATCATAATGATGAAATAAAAATTGAAACCTAAATCAATTTTAAAATTGAGAAATTTACCCAAGTGGGTCGACATTGTTTGACATATTCATCCCGACGCTTCTTGCATTCCACTGGGTAGAGCAGCCCGACCGATGCGAGTTCGGTAGGCCTTTTGTTTGATTCCCTCTCCAAACAAGAGTAGAACGCGTCACGTGCCTTTAAGGGTTTAGAAAAATCCAATAATTATTGCAGTTTTTGAGCCTTCTACAAGAATATATGTATTTATAGAAGTATATACACGCATAGAAAAATATATATACATCAACAATGACAAAAAAAATGGAAAAGTACCTTATAACAAGCTTTTCTAGCTTCAGCGAGGACGTCGACATAGACTTTATCAGGGTTTTGCGATGCGTAGGCTTCTAACGCCATGCTCAGAGACACAGAGAGCTTGTAGACTTGTAGTTTAACAACAATCTGTATTGGGCTATTCAACTAAAAAGCAATCTGTTTTGGGCTTAATTCGTCTACTGGGCTGGATTGAGTTTCCTCGTTTAAGGCCTAAAAAATATATTACTTTGTGCATTTTAGTGAGAGTGTATATGTTGTGTTCAGTGTTCACTTGGTTTCAAATTGAGACTCAAATTTTTCATTAATTTTTTTATTATTCTTTTTTTTAAACAACATTTTTTTCATTATTCTTAGTATGATAAGTTTTAATTGAACCAATTGTTCTCATTCATCATATGAATCATGTGGACTAAAATGAGACAAACTGGATTAGGTGGCTTCCTTTGGTTAAGTAGGAAAAAAAATGTTGCATTAGTTTGAAGGAAAATAAATGAAATGAAAAGAAATAATGGTGTTGACCACTATTTATGTTTGGATAACTTAGAAAATAAATAAAATGATCGTAATAGGATTGTTTTATTTTGTGAATAATGAGGGTAAAAGAAAATCGTTATTAAAAAAATAAAATAAATAAAAGCAAAACAGATAATTACTCAATCTTTTTACTGTTTACTTTTGGAGTACCAAGAAAAATATTACATTAGTTTAAAGGAAAATAAATGAAATGAAAAGAAAGAATGGTGTTGATCACCACTTTATATGTTTGGATAACTTAGAAAATAAATTAAACGATAGTAATTTCGATTGTTTTATTTTGTGAATAATAAGGGTAAAAGAAAATCGTTATTAAAAAAAATAAAACAAATAGAAGTAAAACAGATAATTACTCAATCTTTCTATTCTTTTTTATTGTTTACTCTTGGAGTACGAAGAAAAATATTACATTAGTTTGAAGAAAAATAAATGAAATGAAAAGAAAGAATGGTGTTGACCACTTTCTATGTTTGGATAACTTACATATAAATAAAACAGTAGTAACAGCGATTGTTTTATTTTGTGAATAATAAGGGTAAAGGGAAATCGTTATTAAAAAAATGTAATAAATAGAAGTAAAACAGATAATTTGGTTAGATGGAAATAGTAAGAAAAAATATTTAAAAAATAAAAATAAAAGTGATTTTCTAACACTTTGTTAGGCTGAAAATTGTAGGAAAATAAATATTCCCTTTGTCTCACAATACATGTTTGCACAGGGAATTCAACTTTTTATGGTAGTGGAGTTTTAATTAGAAATTATTAGATGATTTTGGTTTATTTGACACTTGGTGGACTTATTCAATGAAGACCCTCCGATCATGAAACTTTGTAATTTATTAATACACTCTTCTGGGGCCATTTTCTCAATTCGAGAGTTTGTATTTAACTGATCCACTAAGTATTAATGGTTCAGGACCATCTAATAAGTTCTCACGTTTTAATAGTTTTTTTATTGAATTGATAAGAGTGAAGTTTCAAATATGCCCCACTAAAAGACAAAATAGTGCTCCGTAATTAGTGCAGTTGTTTAATTAAAATGATAGTTTGGGAATGTTATAAAAAAATAGTACATTCAATTTTGGAATATGACATGTTTTTTAGGACATTTAAAAATAGAAAGATAGACAACTATTTCGATGGAGTATCATATTATAATTTAGATACCTAAATTGCTCTTACTGTATAAAAATAGTAAAATAATAAAGTAAAAAGTAGAATAAAAAAGAATTAATTAATAGTGAGGTATATAAATTTAGTTATGAAAATTTTAATTTATTTAGACCTTTTAAGTTATTATTTAAACACACCACATAAAGAATACAAAAATTTATATGTTGTTCGGTAAATCCTACATCTACGGTAGAGATCCGGTGAAAGTTTTCATTATATCTAAAATCGAAGATTTCAAATTTCAGTCCCTCAATCTCAATTATGTACGAATTTTAGTGTCTCTCTCACCACCCACTCAAAACCCTAAACGCCCTTATATTGGGCTACAACATAGTACTAATTAGGGGGTATAAAAAAACAGTATATTCAATTTTGGAATATGACATTTTTTTTAGAGCATTCCAAAATAGAAAGATAGACAACTATTTTGGGACAGATGGGGTATCATATTATAATTTAGATACCTAAATTGCTCTTATTGTACAAAAATAGTAAAATAATAAAGTAAAAAGTAGAATAAAAAAGAATTAATTAATAGTGAGGTATATAAATATAGTTATGAAATTTTTATTTAATTTAGACATTCTAAACTACTATTTAAACATACCACACAAAGAATACAAAATTTTATATGTTGTTCGGCAAAGCTTATGTCCACGGTGGAGATTCGGTGAAAGTTTTCACTATATCTGAAATCGAAGATTACAAATTTCAATCCCTCAATCTCAATTATGTACAAATTTTAATGTCTCTCTCACCACCTATTCAAAACCCTAAATGCCCTTATATATTGGGTTACAACATAGTACTAATTAGGGTTTACGACTAGGGGTGGTAATTCATGTTGGCGTGTCGTGGTCGTGTCGACGCAATTACAACAAGAATACGATTAGAATCAACACGAACACGACACGATTATGGCATAAACACGATTAGGGTCGACACGAACACGACAGGATTATTAATCGTGTCTAAGACACTTAACACTTGACACGAACAAGATTATTACACGTGTAACACGACACAATACGCGTAACCTATTTAATAAATGGGTATGACTTTACACTACACGAAAAGAAACATTTAAGTCAGTTTTTACACGAACACGACATGTATATTCTACACGTTTTGCTAAATAGGTCGTTTTTACACGAATACGATACATTTGTCTGACATGTTTAGTTAATCGGGTTAATCGTGTCATAATCAAGTTTACAGGGTCAAATACCAACACGACACGTTTAGTTAGCGGGTCAATCCGTGTCGACACGATTACAATACAAACATGATTAATCCAAATCAAACATTCTTATCTCGTGTCATGTTAAATATTGCCATCGCTAATGCGATCCATGAGTAAAAAACGAGTCAATTTTTTTTATCGAGACACAAAACTCAACAAACGAATCGTAAGCGAGTAGCATTAGTACTAAATTCGGGCCACAACATCACAACATCCTATTATAACTGTCATTGTTCACACATCACTTGGGAATGAGTGAATTTATGATAGTTTGTATTCTCTCAATAACCTTATTTTTCCTCCACTTTTTTAAAACAAACTAAAGTTTAGAGCTTGTTTGGCAACTATAGTTACCCGAAGCTAAAACAATGTTTTATGCTTTAGAGTGTGTTCAACACTATTTTGAAACTTATTTGGTAACGTAAATTTGTTACAAGATTTTTAAAAGTAAAAATATGAAAGCATGTTAGGTAAAAAGTGTTGAAAGTTTGAAATTTTGAATGGCTAGTTAAAAATATTATTTTAGAATTTTTTTTTTAACAGTGTCTTGCTACAGTGCGAAAGTAAACAAAAATATCATATTGATCTTTCCAATTTTAACCACAAATTTGGAAGTGCTTCGATACTATTGAAATGACAGCAAACATGCTTCGTTACAGTACACTAGTAAAAGTAAAAAACACGCAGTAAAAGCATTAGCTAAACGGGCCCTTAGATTTTCCTTCAAACTCTTCGACTTATTTTATTCTCATTTCCATCAATTTAAACAGGCTTTAAATTTCATGTGTTTTCTGACGTGTTAAAATAGATAATTATTTGCATATCGAATTTGAATAATTATGTACGTGCATTGTGTTGCATTTTAAAATAAATGATGTTACTGCTCAATCTATTTAGGTTGCACGTGTATGTATTACATTTCAATAGAAAATATCGAAGTATAGCACATAAAAATTACTCTCCCAATTTTAAAAAAGATATTTATTTAGGAACAAATGGAGTACTAAAATCTATTTGTAAGTGTCAAATATAGAGGTTTAAAGGTAAATTCAATTAAAATATTTAGAAAGTCTAATCATGTATAATAAAAAAACTTGATTAAATTAACTTCAAATTATATATGTTTGCATTGATGATCAAAAGTGATGATGACATCATAAACGAATCATGATTTTAAGGTTTGTGATATTAAGATTTAAGCACAGACAAATTAGTCCTTCGTATATAGTAGGACAATCATTTAAGATTTATCCATTAACGTTGTCAAAGTAGGAAGATTAAGATTTTTTTGTGGTGTGTTTTTTTTGGGACAGTTGAATTGTCCTTAAAATGAGGCATTTATTTTATGTAAATGAACGTACAAGTTCCAACTGAGTCATAAATCTTTTATTAACTCAATGAATTGTACTAGTTAAATCCATTGAATCACAGTCCTTTTGACACCTGCATTTATATAATTCAGTGAATTGTACTAGGTTAAAGCCATTGAATCAGGGTCCTTTGCCACTTGCTTTTATAATTCAATTAAATTTATCTATCCCTCAAACTAGGAAGAAGAAAGGGCAATATATATATATATACACACACACACACTCTTATTCAAACTACCTTATTTCAGAATAATCTGAATTTGTTTGGACCTCCAGCAAAACTCTAAAAAAAAATCCACCATCTTCCTATAGCAGTGCCCTAAATAATAAAAATTGTCCAAATATCGATATGTGTCGCAAGTTGCAAAATTTAACCGGCGAGTATTAATTGTTTCACCGTTTTTCAATCAAGATTAATGAATTTGTGTAAGTCAAAACAAATTCATAAAATTTTTTGATAGTTTAAATGGGTCATATAAATTTGACAATCAGTTCTATATCTGTACTGACATACATATGTTATAAACTTAATTTTTATTTTAGTTTTTCATATTATTGAACAAAATGACTGTCATTGTACCTATTCCAATCAATATTCCCACATCCAAGAATTTAGTTTTACCATTTTTTAATCAGTAAGTAAAAAAGATGACCTTTGTTGTGATTATAGTTCAAGGACACATTTGACCATCCAAGTTTTACAATTACAGTAATAATTGCCTTTTTTTCTGATTGTAGTAGTTTAGAGAAAATAACCCCAATTTTAGTTTTTATTTAAAATTTTTTTTTTTCATTTTATGTTTAATAAAGCTCGTTCTT